GGAACACAGTGATTATGAAGAAAGCTGGATTCCACCTTAACCTAACTGCAACCTGGCTGCTGCACAACACAGGGCAGGAGTTGGGGCTTGAAATTAGAACCTGAAGCAAAGCTGGGATGTGTAGAAGGCCACACAGTTTGGGATCACCCACTTCACCTCAGGAATAAAAGCAAGAAAACTGTATTTCATAAAAGGACAGGATGGAAATCAGTGACACTTGGGTAAGACATTAGAATCTCTAAGAACATTTGAACAATTTAATCTGTGTTTAGAAAAGTGCCTGGTGGTGAAAAACCAAAGCAGATCCAAACACTGACACACACATGAATTTTATGAGATAAAGGAACAGAGAGATGATGGGAAATACCTGAGCTGAAATGATGACTGACACAGGAGGCATCTCAGGAACTTACTGGGCCAAAGAAAATCAAGGAACAGTAGAACTGCAAATGTAGAAATTATACAGAAAGGACAAGCAGAGGTTATGTTGCTGGGCAGAGGCCCAATACATTAAAAATAAAAAAAAAGTCAAATAAGGTAAATGATACATCAACAAATGAAATATATTCCTGTTGGATTAAAATTCCACTCCCAAATAGGAAAAAATATAATATCAGGGCTATACTGGGAACTTTCCAAGCAGAGTGCTGATGGTAAATATGCCACATTGAGGAGGTGCTGAGAGACTGAGAAGGCAGAAAGCAAAGGAATAAAGGGAGATTCTGCCAGGTTGAATGGGGGCCACTATGAGAAGAGTTACCAGATCTGCATTTTAGACACTGTAAATGACCACTTTTTTTAGAAACTAAACCAGAAAACCAACAAAAGAAGAAACAGCATCACCAGTTCAGAGGGCTTCTTTGGTAAGGCCTCTCAGCAAAAAATAACCATGACCCACCCATATCAAATACTCTTGCAGGACCAAAATAATCCACAACAGTAATGCTCAACTTCAAAGAGAAAGTGAGGAATGCTATTTAAAAGAGATTTAAAAGTGTAATCAAAAAGGTTAAATGCTTGAGGCAGCATGAAGATTGTTTAAAGATGCTATATTAGAGTCTCAGGGAAAATGTACCTATCAAAATAGAGACATTTTAAACCATCCAAAAACTCACCATAGTTAAAAGGTGCATTAACCAAAAATATTAAAGCAAACAACCCTCAAAAACGGAAAGTCAGCGATTTTCCAATGATTAACCAGGGAATAACCTATCATTTAAAACTGAACTTAGCAGCAGAGGAATGGAAAGCAATAAATGTGAACCTCTGAAAGAGCTCCTGGAAAACTACAAACCAGCCAGTCCTATTTCCATACTGAACAAACTGGTAGAAGCAAAGAGGGAGTGAAATGATTAGATGCACAAATAACTATAATCCCACTGCTGAAGACTCAGCATGTTCTCGTGGAGGGAAGCCGTGCCTCAAAAGCCTCTTGCAGATCTTTAAAGGAGGCAGCGAGCACAGGGATGGGTGAGCTCTGCCTGATGTACCAAACTTGAACTCCCAAAGGGATTTCAACGTGGTCATTCAGCAAAGACCATTTTTGGGGTTGGAAAAATTAAGTGATGGGGAAGTACACGGGAAAGTCTTCTTGAGAAGTTGATTTAAAGGTGCAAATCCTATCAATAGTTTTAATTTGCCCGCAGAAAAGCCTCAAGTTTTGTGCTGGGGTTGCTGCTGTCCAACATAATCAGAAAAGCCCAGAAAAAACCTGTCCCCTGTCAGAGCTCACAACAAAATTATTGTGGGTGGTCAAAAGAAAAGTGGATAATCAGAAGCTGCAAGAGGATCTTACAGCCATGGGGGAACATGTGACAAAATGATGGACAACTAAATGCCAAAAAATTCAAACTCTGGACACACAAAATGACTGAACCACCAAGGATATGAAGGACAGCAGCTGGAGAAGGGATGGTTCATGTGAGGCATTATAATGGAGGAGGAAAAAATCCTGGATGCAGTCAAGAAAGCAAATAGGAAACAGTGATTTCCTGTGCACAGGCTGTAGGAATCTGGGGGCATCAAAGAGAATTATCTAGCAGCAGCTCCTTCCTGGATCCACCCTGGATCTTTGGCTTTACTCAGTAACTATTCCCATCCTTTGAAATTAGCTTTCCCATCTCTAGGAGCAGTGATCTAAATATCTCCTATACAGGCTGCAGTATTCCCAGGAATAGAGTTTCTGATTTTCTCCTGTGGAAGTGTTTCTGACCACTGTTGAACAAATTCCTCAATTTATTTAGTTTACTTTAGTCCAAAATATCCTGTGCTTACTGGGACAGCAGAGAATCACATATAAGACCCTATTCAACTGAAATATTGCCTTCCAGAATTCCAGAAGTTTCAGCTCTGCAGAGATCTGTAGAAAGAGAGCTCATGGCAGCTCCCAGTCCCTGCTCCAGAACAGCACAGGGAGGAACAGACCCAGGGAATGGAACTGGTGTTTTAAGCAATACCCTGACTCAGGGCCACAGGGGAATAAGATGCTCCTCCAGATGTGCAGTTCAATCCAGCTCACACAGCTACCAAAAATGAGTGGGCTGTTATCTAATCCCTGCCCCTGCAGCCAGTGGAGATGGATAGAGGGGTTTAAAAGCCTTGGGGATGTGGTTTAGTGCTGGGCTTGGCAGTGCTGGGGGAACAGCTGGGCTTGAGGATCTCAGAGGGCTTTTCCAACCGAAATAATTCCATGATTCTGGGATCCTGTGATTCCAGGCAGCGATTCACTCCATCACTCTCAGACATCTTAGGATGGTCAAAATGCCACCAAAATCTCCATGTTGTTTATGTACAGAAACCAGGTACCTCCATTTCTCAGTCATTTTGCCAGAGTCTGATGAGGTGAGACCTCCACTCTTGCAGGTGGTGCATCCAGCAGCAGAGGACAAGGTGCAGCTGGAGCTATAGTTCTGAGGAGGACACTGGTAGCCTGAGGGTCCAGCACAGGGAGATGGAAGAGAGGGAAAGGGAGAGGGAGAGCAGTGTTCAAGGAGACCTGGTGGGAAGAGGATAAAGTACTACCAGGGCATCAAACTCACAGAAACATCAGAGCAATCTGTCCTGGGGAGCTGCACTGTTAGTGAAGGATAAGATGATGTAAAACGGTGTGGAAATACCATGGGAAAGATCTGTAGGTGGAAAACTCAGTGTCTAGTAATAAAAATATACTACAAGAACAGCAGTCCTGAGCCTCTGATAGAACTGTGATGGTGAGCAGGGTTAACTGAGATAGCAGAGGCTGCAAAATTAGGACAGACAGTAATAGTGGAGAGTTCATCCACTCACACACATACAGGTTAATGCTTCACTGGGATGAACCACAGAGAAAAACTTCTGGGAAGCAATAAATGATTACATGCCAAAATTAACTAGTCTAAACTGTTTGACCCACAAGAAAAGATGCAACTCAGGATGTGGTCTGGAGTGATGCAGAGGACTCAGTGCCAGGGGTAGAAGTGGAAGAGCCCATTTGTAAGAACGATCACAACACAGTTTTAACTCTCTAGTGGCAGAGAGCAATCTAAAGAAATGCAGCACAGGGGGATTTAATTTCAAAACTGTAAAAATGCAGCAATCAGTCAAAGAGAGCTGAAAAGGAGGATCCCCAGGATGACGATGGCTGGTAGGTTGTTCACAAATGCTGTACTGGCAGACAAGGAACTGGGAGTCCCACATGAGACCTGTGGGTCAAAAGGGGCATTCCTTGATGTCCAGGCCACAGCTGAGAACCTCAGTGAACTTCCTGCATCCATTGCTAGTGCTGGTGACACCGAGATGTGTTCCACTCCTGTGCCCCAGCACCACTGGAAAGGCTCTCAGCTGAGGGCTGGGAGGTTTCCAGTATGATCCCACCTGCAGAGAAGGGGCTGGATAAAACCTTGAGGCCACTGGATCTGCCCTCCACCCTGGGGCATGACAGAGTGTGCTGTGAAGAACACGACTGCTGATGGCATGGAGAAGCACAGCCTCTTGGGAAAGGACAACAGCAAAGGCAAGCCCTGCCTCACCAACCTGCTGGAGTTTGGGGAGGGAGCCAGTGAGCTCATGGATAAAGGGACCAGTCAACTACATGGATTTGGGTTTTCAAACAGCCTTGGGCAAGGTTCTACACCAAAGCCTATTAGGAAATGAAGTTGCCCTGGGCACGGAGGAAAGGTCTTGTTCTGGACCAAGAGCTGGTGAAAGCATAGGATGAAAAGGGCAGGGTTTGCTGGCGCTTTCCAGCCTGGATAAGAGTCAGCAGCAAGACCTGAGACTGGTGCTGGGACTGGTTTGCATCCTGTGGGTGCCCTCAGGGGGTGCAGAGAAATTCCCAGGTTTGCAGAGGATCCTCAGTTTCTTCAGGTGGTTGGATACCTCACTGAAGGTGAGGAAATCCAGAAGGACCTCACAGAACTGGGCAAGTGGACAAAAGTCAAAAATGTGGCTGATGAACTTCAGTGTAGGAAAATGTGGTGTATCCACAGAGAAAAATGATCTGTATCAGGCCTGTATGATGCTGAACCTAGAACAGCTCAGGAAGGAGCTCAGAGTCATCATCATCATCATCATTTCTCTGACCTATCACTTGGTGTGCAACAGCAGCTAAAACATGCAGGGAGTGTTGGACCCTGCCAGCCAAGGCCACCATAACAAACCAGAGTCTGGGCATCTTGTGCCCCTCTCCAACACCTTGGTGCAGTGCTGGGGGGGCCACAGGCAGTTCTGGTCTCTGCATCTCAAGAAGGACGTGGTAAGGTCAGAGGGGGTGCAGAGAACCAGAATTAAAAAGGCTGAGGGATGCAGCAGCCACTGCGTAAGGAGAGACTGAAAAGTCCCAGGTCTTCACTACAGAGAAGAAAAGGGCAGGGAGGGTGGGTGAGATGAAGGCTTGGAAAGCTGTGTAAGCACTGACTGGGGCAGCTGTTGGACCAACCCACGGCACTGACTCACAGTATTCAGGAACAAATATTTCCTCAGCATCACCAGTCTTTGTCACAGCGGCTGCTACATTTTCTTACCTGTATGTACCAGCAAGAACTTGGTCACAATCAACCAGGACAAACTTCTCCAGAACCTGGCCTGCAAATTTCTTGCCTGCTTTGCTGTAGTACGTGTCTCCACTCAGGCATCTGATGCGCATGTTCTGAAACCAAAGCAAGCAGAGTTGGTGGAGGGGCTGAACCGAACCGAGATGTTCCTCACACACCACTGCTGGACTCCCACAAGCCTGTGCTCTGCTCACAGAGGTAGAGCCCAGCAAGGCATCAAGTATTTCTTGGCTCCTGCATACCCAGTGTTCTGTCTGCTTCTCTAAGATAAAAACACCAGCAGGTATTAACAAGTTGCACTTGGGTGTAAATTCTAGCTTGAAAAAAACCTGGAGTATCCTATGAGCCTACAGACCCATTCTGAAGTATGTAAAACTATCCAATTTCTTCCAGATTATTAATAATATTCAACTTGCCAGAGCTGATGGCTCTGCATTGGAACTAAATTTGGGTACCCGTAACAACCAGTCTAGTCAATCAAATGTTCTGGTTTTATGCAATGACAGGCTTCTTAAAACCAAAACATCACTCAGTAAAAAAAAGATTTACAGAGAGAAACGTCTACATTGTATGAACTGCCTTTTATCAATTTATTTAAAAATTTTATTAACATTTCCAGCTGCTGTACTCAAGTGAAGCAGACCTGATCCTCCTCTGCTGTCAAACTGCAACAACTCGTCTGATACAACCTTGGCCTGTAAAACCAAAGAGAAATAATAGAAATGATTTGCACCTCAACAAGGGAAGGCAGAAGAGCAGAACAGTAGCTGGAAACAGTTACTGGCCTGGTCTGTGTGATACAGTGCCAAACAAAACATCTTGCATGAAAATAAACATCCCTAAGGCTGCAGCTACGCAGGGCTGCCAGCTCATCCCTTCCTGCCCTTTAGGCTTCCTGCCCTCCAGGTCATTCCTTCGTGCTGTCCAGGTCATTCCCTCCTGCCCTCCAGGCCAGCTCCCCTGCCAGCTGCAGCCCCTCTGGCACAGCAGGAGCTGTCCCAAGCTGTCCCCAGCTGTGTCTGGCAGCTCCTCCCTGCCGAGCATCAGCCCTGCTCCAGCCCCACAGCAGCTGCTTTGGGCCACGCACGATGCCAGGGCCCATTTGCCCCTGGCAGAGGTGGGCACTGCCCAGCTGGGTGCTCAGGGGGAGGTGGCAGCCTCCCCTCTGCCCCCCAGCACATTCCTGGCAGGCACAGCCCTCTCTCTAACAGAGCTGCAGGAAAACACAAGCACCACCACCTGGGATTTGCCTGCAGACTTTCTCTGCAGGGCGCAGCCCCACACTCCTGCCAGCCCTCCAGAGCTGCCCCTGGGCATCCCTGTGCCCCCTTCACCCCCTCCTCCTCCTGGCAGCTGAGCCTGTGTGGGCTTCCCAGGACTCCTGTAGAGAGCCAGGACCGGCTCACCCAGTCCAGGACCTCGTGGTGCGGAAGTCATGCCTGGGGGGTGAGGAGCAGGTGAGTCCATCCCTGATGGATCCCAGCCACCTGAGGCAGGTGAGTGCATTCCTGATGGATCCCAGCCACCTGAGGCAGGTGAGTCCATCCCTGATGGCTTTCCTGTTCCATCAGAGTCCCTGCAGGCAGGGGGGGGATTCCTTCCTGGAAACACCTGCAGGGAGCCCATCGCAGCAGGGTGGGAAAGGCGTGACCCTCACGTGGCAGGGGGAGTCTCCCATTCCACCCAGGAGCACCATTTCCTCCAGGGCTCCCACAACAGCAGCAAATCTGCTCCCAGCAGGGTCCATCCAACCCTACAGGCTCTCTCTGGCAGTGGGCAATGGCAGCTGGGAAGAGCAGGAAGAGGGCAATCATACATGCTGCTGCCCCTAATATTGCTGCTGACCCTCTTTTCTGCTCAGGGAATATCCTGATCCTCTTGTGGTTTGTCCCAGTGGGAAGCCCACCAAGTACTTCCAGCCTTCTCTCGAGTTCATGGAAACTTTTAGGAGGGACAGAGCTGAGGCTTCACAATCTTTGCACAGTGGCTTTCATCTGTTGCTTTCCTGTGTCCCAGAGGGAGTCCTCCTCTGTCCCCTATGAGAAAGGAGAAACCTTCTCCCTGACAGGACAGCTGGGCATTGGAACAAATCACCCAGAGAGGCTCTGCAGTCCCCACACTTGGAGATTTGCAGGACTGGACTAAGTAAGGCCCTGACCCCACAGGTGATGCTGCTCTGAGCAGGCTGGACTTGATGACATCCCAGGGTTCCTGCCAGCTTGCATTAGCCTGTGATCCTCTGAAATGACACCACAAGTTGCTGATACAGACCAAGATACCCTGGATGCTTGGGGAGGTGGCCAGTCAACACAGGCATTTTTTTTTTTCCCAGTGCCAAGGTTTTAGTAATACTAATTCTCACTGGGAGGAGCTTCCTCTTCCCACCTCTGGGGAAATTCAGGTAAGGAAAATCCCATGAATTTGTCACCACAGTATTTCTTCACTCCCTTTGTCCTTTCCAAGGCTGGGTGAGTTGCTGATATCTGCTTAATTTTTTCCATCCTCTCCTTCCTTTTGGCAATCCAAGCCCTGAATCATCCCAACAAGATGAGAATCCTGCAGTCTTGCAGGAAAACCAGACTGCCAGGTACCACTCTCCATCCCAACAGCAGTTCCAGGATCAGCAGATGGACATTTGAAAACTCCAGGCTGAGTCTTCTGCTGTCACCACTGCCAACACTCCACATGGGATTTGCTCAGCACCAGGATTTGCCACCAGCAGGCTCACATATTGTTCTCAGAAGTAAAGATGCTGGAGGGGCAATTACCCCAAATTCCCCATCAAACCCCAAATTGCCACCAATTATTCCAAATGGAGATTTACCACCACATCCTGTCACAACTCAGAGGCAGGAATAAAATCTGTGCCCTCATTCCACTCAGATGGGAGGATCCAGCCTGTGTGGTTGGTTATGGGCTGCTTGAGGTGCATCAGGGTAAGAGGCACTTCAGATGGAGAGCTGTGCTGAGTCACAGAACGGGGAGGTGAGTTCATCACCCATCCAAGCATATGACATCAGGCCTAACAAAGAGATGTAGGCGTCTCCATGGATATAAACTCACTCCATTTTTAATTAAAAACAACGGCCACATCTTGGATAAGAAGCAATAAAATAAATCTTGGAGAGATGGAATTTGTCTGGATCCACCAGGTGACTTCAGTGAGAAGGCTGTTTTTGACAGCAAACATGCTCCAGCATGCAGCAGTTTCCCCTGACAGCTGCCATCTCAAGAGGCAGGATTAAATGAGTCTGGGTTGTGAGAAGCAAGAAAGGACAGAGCTTCTCCAGCACGGGGGAAGAATCACAGAATCACAAAATCACTGAGGTTGGAGGAGACATTCATGGTCATTGAGTCCATCCTTTGACCAATCAGCCCCTTGCCAACTAGACCAGAGCACAAAGTGTTTCTCTAAAGAAGCCTCTGTAAATTAACCTTTAAAATTAACCTTTGTGTAGGCAGGTTAAAAATGAGGGAAAATTAGGACATTTGTAACTGTATCTATTTTGAATGCTGTAAAACACTATTTTTGCATTTTCCCTGGCCTGTTCATAGGGAAAACCTATGAAACTGATGGAGGAGAATCAGTGCTGCAGGGAATCCTGTGCACCCAGGGAAGGAGAACAGCCAGCACTGCTGGCCTTGCAGGACTAACAAATGACAACAAAAAATTGGTTTCCATTGATTTCCCATTTGATGTGGAAGTTGAATATGGAATTCCAACCGAATTTCCATTGATAGGTGGTAGCCAGAAATGGGGAGCAGCAGGATACTGGGCTCTGAGGCTGCAAGTTCCCAAGAGAGCCTGTGGCACTGCCACATTAATCTGTACTGTTTTATCACCCAAGCCTTTGGTGATGGGCCCCCACTGAGCAGGAATTGGGCTTTTCACAAATCCCTCATGGACCCACACCTGAATCCCAAAGCCTAAAAGCAGATGTTAACATGAGATTTTTTTAACCTGTGGGTGCAGCAGAAGGAAGTGGTGGGGTTTGCAGCAGGACATCTGAGGGGACTCATTGCTCCCCTTCCCCTCCCAGCCACTGCCCTGCAGCAGCTCTGGAATCTCAACTGAGCTCAGGGATCTGAACCATGAGAAATTTAAATCTTGCAATTCTGTGTCCTCCAGCAGGGGTTGTATCACCTTGCCCCTTGTCCAGGAGATACAGGTCCATATGAACTAAGTTTCCTGGTCTCCCTCTGCCCCAGCCCAGCAAAGTGTTCACCAGCTCACTGCATCTCACTGGCCTCGAGTTCCCACTCCCTGCGTGTCAGACTGAAATGAGGACCAGGGAACATCAAGATACAGGACTAGGAGGCTCCTCCACATCTTCCCCTGTGCATCCAGGCAGATCTTGATCTCCAAGACCAAACATCCCTGGTCCCTTAGCCTGGGACAGTGAGAGAAGGGAGAGGTTCCAGGGAGCAGGGAGAGGGAACAGGACAGAGGGTACGTGGGTTTTATCAGTTCCAAGACCTTTTTATCATATCCAGTGTGTAACTGAAAACTTACTGGGAAGCTGTCCTGAGTCAGAGCCATTTTATTGCACATCTCCACAAAATGCTTCAAGTACTCCTCATCCAGGATCAGGTAAACAGGGATGTGCCGCCTGCTCGAGGCCTCCAGAAGGTCACACAGGATTTCCATGTCTGTAAACAGATCCATCACAATTGCTATCACCTGCCCAGGAGAAAAGAGGGATGTGGGGGGAAAAAAACACAAGAGACTGTTGAAATCTCATGCCCAAGTGATTTGTGCCTAAACTATGAGCTAAGCATTCAAACCTCCTGAGTTACTGAGCATCTGTGGCCACCTGGGGGGAGATTCTTCTGGACCCTTGTCTTTAACAGCCCTCACCCCACCATGGCAGCTAAAATCAAAGTTTAATAACTCTGACGACAATCCCCACCCAGGTACCTCCCATCTCATCTGCCATTCACAGAAAGGAAGGGTTGGAAGGGTAGCACGTGTGCATAAACTCTCAGTGCCAGTGGTGCAACAAGCATGTGTTGTCTTAAGCAAATGTGCCAGGAAGAAAAGCACATAAACAAGAGCAGAGATTGAGTCAAGTCATCATTCGATCAGCAAGGGTGACTCCACATGAATGGCAGATCAGTGTGAAAAAATACACTTTTTTTCAGGAAGGACACACTGCCAGGTAAGGGAGAAGGTATCCTGAGCATGTACATGTTACATCCCAGGGGTGCCAAGAGAAAATCAGAGAAAAATGTGTGTGCAAAGGATCCCTTCCTGTTCCCAGCTGGCAGAACTCCTGCACACACAGCCCAGGATGCAAGTGATGGGTATGAAACGTGCCAGGAGGAAGAAGGAATAACATCTAGATTTTTAAAAAAATAAAAATAAACCAAAGGCCCTGCAAGGTAAAGTCTCCAAGGAGGTGTTTCAAAAAGGAAAAGAACTTTAAAGAGAACTGTCAGCTCTTTAAAGAATGAGGTAGAAGAAGATGACCATAGCAACCCATCCCACTGTGGAGATGGAATGGGACCACCATGGCCACATGAATTCTTCGAAAACTGGAAGGAAAATACAGAAAACAGAAGGTAAGTCATGACAAGAAGCTACTACGAGTGAGTTGACCCAGAACTAGAAAATCCAAAGTACAGTAGGACTTGCAAGAAAAACAAGGGTTGGCTCCCAGTGGCTGGGAAATCAACCATATAGGAACAGCCTGAAGAGGCTGTCCCTCTGTTCCTCACAGGGTGAACCTGCCAGCAGACAGCATGGGGGACCATTATTTGGATGAGGAAGTGACTGTTGGGATGCACCTGTTGGCTGTCACTGCTGGTGATGGGAATCAGGAGGACACTTCGGAGAAGGAAGGAACAGGCAGGAGAGCTCTTGCTGAGCAGGATGATTTGTCACTGCCCCTCAGGGTGCAGAGCAACCCAGTGACTCAGACCCTGAACCATCAGCAGTTAACACTGAGAACTCATGGAAGATGGGAACACACTGGGGGATGGAAGAAGACAGTGAAGGATTTACCAGCGGGGCAGCTTTGTTTCAAAGCTGAAAAAGTAATGGAACTACTGCCCAAATACTTCAGTGCCAGTCTCTGCCACGTCAAAGTAGTGAATAAGGTAACTGGTACTCGTAAGGGGGGGGCATAACCCTGATGTGAGTTCCTGCACCCAGCAGAGGATGCCAAATAAAGATGGCCCAACAAGCAGAGAGCTTGGGAGTGAAGCTCCAGCAGCCTGCCCTGCTGCTCAGTGTTCATGCCCTGCACCACAGCTGGCACACGAAATGCATGAGAGCCTGTCCTGCTGCTCACCGTGCCCCCCGTGAGCAGGGAGCCTGTTTGCCAACCCTCCCCTGCCTGTGTTACAGCATGGCCACAAATGCAACTCTCCATAGCCTAAATCACCCTGTGCAGCTCATCCTCTGCCTCTGCTGCTCCTCCTCAAACCAAGAGCCAAATGATGGCAGTGAGGTCAGCTTTTACATGTGCAGTGGTTCAAGATTTAAACAGGAACAGGGGATGTTGCTTTCATGGCAGGGGTCTGACCTGGAATTGCTTCAGGAAAGAGCAGATGAGCTCCAAGTATCTCTGTCCTGGGATTTGTGCTCCAGACCCCCATGCTGGCCCTAGAGTGCCCACTGCCCAGTAGCTTTCTGCTGTTTCCATTAATAAACTGTCTCCTTCCAGGCTCACCCTCGTGGTCTCGGTGATGAGTGCAGGCAGCTGCCATGGGCAGGGTGGGGATCCATGGGCAGGGTGGGGATCCATAGGCAGGGTGGGGATCCATGGGCTTCCCTGTGCTCTCTACCCCAGGTTTCTGCTTGGGGAGCTGGCTCCTCTCAGCCTGCAAACCCCCTCTGCAGCAGAGCTGTGGTAGAGAGGGCAGCAATGCCAGAGGGTTGCTTCCTGTTCCCGTGGGGATTTAGCCCTTTTGTACCTGGACAAGATTTCATGGCTCTGTTTTGTCCCCAAACCCACCTCTGTGATGATGCTCGAAACACTGTGATCACTCCTCAACATCTCGCAGAGGACCCCAGGACCATCCCCCCCCCAGCAGGTATGGAGGCTGGAGCAATCCCAGGCACCCACGTGGGACACAAGGCAGCTCCAAGAGCTAAAAATCATTCCTGCTGTCCAAGCCCAAACCACATCTCCTCACACCTCTCGCCCTGGCCCTGGGAGGCACAGCCTGACTCTGAAGGGCACCTCTTCTGTTGCCCTGGCCAGTGTTGCATTCCCAGAAACCTTACAAGGCTCTGGCAAACTCTTCTGCCCTCCTGAAACGTGCCCATCTGGCATGGACAGCAGAGTCAGCCCTGCAAGAGCTCTGCAAGCAGTGAGCAGCATCTTCAACCTCCCAAATTAATGCTGCTGCTGGGCCATCAGCACTGGGTACTGCTGAGACCCACAGCAAACAGGACCTCACCACGTCCCTCCACACTGTCCTGCGGCCAAAGACCAAGAGCAATTTAGCCAAACGACTTTGATGGGTCACACATCCTTTGATGATGAAGCACCAAAAACAAAACTACAGCCCAAACCTTGTGCAAGGCCTCAGGCGAGTCCCTCTCGGCCGCACTTTGCCTCCCGACACTCCAGCTCATCTCAAGCTTAGGTCTGAGGCAGGCTTGGCCCTGGGGACAATCTAAACTCTGCCTGGGAAGTCAATATGATCGAGTCAAGGGAGACCAGTGCTCCTTTGTCCCCAGATCCCACGTGCCCAGAGGCACTGGGGACGCACAGAAGGTCCACACCACCTTGTTTTTCCCTGCCAGGACTGGCTGGCACAGCGCAGGGCTGGTGCCTGCCCAAAACTGGCAGTGCCAGGCTGCAGTGAGAGGGATGGGGCTGAGCAGGCAGGGTGGCACAGGGTCACCACAGCCCTGCACCTCCCGGCAGCCCCGGCTGGGCTGCGGCGTCAGCGAGAGCCCCGGGCCAGCTTGTGCAAGCTGGGTGGAGCCCTGGGAGTCACACTCATGCCTCCCAAAGCGGGCCTTCCCCTGGCATCAGGAGGTGGAACAGGCTGTGGCTCTGCTCACACCCTCCTCCCCAGCAGGGACTTGGGCAGAGGTGCTCCTGGTGTGCAGCACAGCCAGTGCCAGGCAGGAGGGGCAAAGCCCTGTGTCAGTGGGGGACAGAGGGGGCTGTGCCCTCCCTGCAGGGGGGAAAGGCAGGTGCCCGTGTGGGGCTGCTCATTCTAACTGTGGGCATCCATAAGGGCACTCAGACCAGCATGTTCTCTTGGCAGCAGGCAGCTCTTACAGTCACATCAGCTCGACCCCAAAGCCAAGAGGTTTTGGGGGGAACAATACCCTGGAAGTTTTTCCCTTGAAGCCTCCTAAGAACATGTGGTCGCAAAAGCGAGGTCTAAATCCTCAAAGATAATTCCCAACAGCTCCCTAAAGCAGTGGGAGTTGGATATCCAAGTACCATCTGCAATTCAGGCTCCTGACAACACAGCTCATGTTTAAAGCTTTGAGCGTCCAAGTCAGTTGGGCCTTGCAAACTTAAACAACATTCAGTGTCCCCAGCCCCTCTGCTCCTCACCATGCTGACCACGGCCTCCGAGCCCATGGCAGGACATTGCAGACACACAGCTGCCCCACAGGCTCTAGAAAATTCACACCTTGCCATTGTAGGGCTAAACCGTGACATTTCCAAACCCACTTCTGGAAACTCACAATTCAGCAATTACTGGAGTCATCACTTTGGGAATTACAGCACTTACCAGCACCCCACTGGGGTTTGCCATCTGTCTGGTTTCTAACCAGCACAGCTGGTTTTGCAGGTATTTGCCAATAGCCCTGTGGTTTGGGTTATTACTGCAGTGGTGCCATCTGAAGCAACACTTGGGGACCGTCAGGGACCCCTCTGCCATCACACAGAGAGCTGGGTGCACAGCCAGAGTCAGAGTTGCACTAGAGGGGTGAAAGAAGCAGCATGGACAGTTCACACCAGATTGGAGCTCATCCAACAAGAGTAAAATTGTAATAGGATTATCAAATGAAGCAAAGGTGTGGCTGCACTGCGTCTTCTTAAGTCTGCAAAGAGAACAGCTCAAATCTGAACGTCCGTCTTCAAAGAGGGCTGGTTAAACACAGCCAGGTCGAAAGACCAACTACACCAGCAAAAGGTACCAAGGAAACAAATGCTCTTTTTGCTGCTTTGTCTGTACAAATGTGCTGTTGCAAAAGATGCCAGCTGATGTTGTTCTGTGTGACTGTACTGGGGAAGCACCAAAGAGCATTTCCAGACAGCACCCTTCTGTCTACAGGACCTGGCAAAGCCACTGGGGATCTCCCCAGCTTCCCCACTTCCCACCAGCACTGTATCCTCAGGGGAGGAGAAACACCCTGAAAAAGGGATCTGCGACAAGAGGTGGAACTCTAGGGGAAAAAATATTGCAAATGGAGAAACAGCAGCTGAAAAGCAACAGCAGGTGATTGTCCACATGGTTCCTACCTGGCATTTCAAGCAAAGGATGTTTTTACCTCTGGTTGCTCTTTTGTCATTAAAACACACATAAGTAACATCCTTTTGCATGGTTTGATGAGCAAAATGACTCAGTAAGTACTTAAATATGTGTAACTGGGGTTGTGAATGAGCTGGAACTGCCATCACTCATAGAGTTAATCATAGGAAGCACTGACCAGAGCTGCTAACCCAGAAGCCAGTAGAACACCAGTAATAAACCAATAAGATGGTTAAAAACTCATTCTCCTGTTTCACACAACAGTCAAAAACATTGTGTGAAATCCCCAGCTTGAACACAGAGGGCTGAAGATTGCTGGGGCTTTGTCAAGTGAAGCAAAGAAAGCAAAAAGCTCAAAATGTACCGAGGGTACAATAAAGCACCCGCTGCCTGGGCAACCTGCCCGCAGCAACAGGCAAGTTCCTGTGAACTGAGAAAGCAGCAAGATGTTTTTCCTGTGGCTCAAAGGATCATAATACCATGGGAGATCCGGGACACGTGCTGAGTGACAGGAGGATGTTTCTTGGTAGTCATTTACTCTGTGCACTCTACCGTGACCGTGCATTAATCCCCACTGCTGACAAGGTTGGGGTCAGTGTCACAGAACTTTTCAGATCATTTAAGCTACCTGAAATCAGCTGCCTGCAAGGACAAACAAAGCTTTTTGTCCCTTACTTCCTGGACCAAAACTTCCTGTATTCCCCTGTAAGGTGCAACAGAAGCTCAAGCCTTAAGCAAGGGCTGCTCACAACTGAGCAGCAGCTCACATGGCACAAGAGTCCTTTGGGCAAAAGAGAAAAAGATCCCCATTCACCTCATATCACACCCAAACCTCCTCAATATGTGGTTCTTTGAGGATGTTCTGGTGCTGCAGCAATCTGAGCTGCTGGGAACACATGAATTCCTTTGCTCAGCTCTGCTGGTGGTGACAGATCACACTCGAATTGTGAACAGCTCACATTCTCAGCACGGCCGAGGTCCAGGCATGACAATTCCTTATCTCCTGATACTGCACTATGAATACAAGGAGTGACTGAGAAGTTAAATAGGAAACTACTGGAGTGATAAGAGAAATAGCCTAGAAGACGAATGGTTAAAGTGAACTTTGCTCTAAATATTTCTTCAATATCTCAACACAAGTACTACGGAAGAAAACTAATGTGGAACAGCTGGAAAGAGCCATAAAGAGGACAGAGACAATAAAAGCTGCAAATGTGTCTGTGGTACAGTTGCCTGAGTTGCTGCTTTCATACAGAGTAGAGTGGAAAAGCAAAAAGAAGCAAGAAGTAGCATAGTGAGTAAATTCATGCCAGGACTGTGCTTGGTAGGCAGGTACTGTGGTCATCCAGGTTTTATGGCATCTGAGGGTTGTAATAACACAACAGGAACTGTGCAGTGGGGCAAAACGGGCTGATCTTACTCATCCCGAGAGAGGCACAGACATCAAGCCTAGAAGACAGGATTCTAACCCACTTCAAATCCCACAGATTTACTCAAGGTCACATGTGGTGTGGCCCTGGCACAGGTTGCCCAGAGAAGCTGTGGCTGCCCCATCCCTGGAAGTGTCCAAGGCCAGGTTGGACGGGGCTTGGAGCAGCCTGGGCTAGTGGAAGGTGTCCCTGCCCACGGCAGGGGGTGGGACTGGATTGTCTTCCAATCCAAACCATTCTGTGGTTCTCCCACCGAAACTCACCACTGGTGAGTCCTGTTAACATGATGTCCAGGGCTGGAGAAGAGCCCTGGTCATGCAGACTCCCTGGTTGAGGGAGCAGGACTGGCTGGGACAGCCAAATGTGAGCTCTGCAGGCCCTGCAGTCGCTCCAGGCTCTGCATCCCCACAGCCATGGACAAAGAGTGCCTCCAAGGGCACTGCCTGGATGACATGAGATCCCAGGCAGAAAGAAATTACAGGAAAGGAAAGGAGCAGGAACAGTTACAGATCTGCTGCAGAAAAAGCAATCACACCATGCCAGACAGGCAGAGAGCAGTGACAGCACGTGGGGCACGGGTGTGGGACCAGCCACCACACTCGGGTGCTGTGGCAGGACCCCACTCAAGGGACACAGCTCTATACATACCACCCGTGCCTGGCTGATCAGAGACCGGACCAAATCCTTAATGCTGTTAGTTTTGTTTCTTTGGAAAACCACAGTGGCCTGAGTCTGGACAGACACCGTGAGGAGCGATGTCCCTGGCCAGCCCAGCTCCAGCTCCGGGGGGTGCACGTCAGACATGAGCGGGAAGTAGGTGCCCGACGTCAGTTCGGAGTTGAGGGAGAACCCGTCCCCAGCGTCCGCATCGCCAGGGTCAGCATCCTTGTCTTTCGTCGCGCTGGGATCTGGAAGGCTCTGGTTCCTCTGCTGGCTGATGTACTCCATGTCCAGGCTGGAGAGGAAGGGCAGCTCCCGCTCCTCGGCGATGGCGCTCAGGTAGCCGCGCTCGCCCTGCTCCAGGAAGGCGTCGATGGCCAGCCTGGCTGTCTCGCTGTGCTGGAGCACCAGCGGGGTGGGCTCCCTCCACCACGGCTTCTTCAGCTGCTCCAGCCGGCTCTTCAGTGGCCCAGACACCCCTTGCTGGCCCCCGTAGCTGCGGTGGAGCTGGGGCCTCACCTCTACTGCCAGGTAGTTGAACATGACGGGAGCTGCCGATGCTGCGAAGCGCCTCTCCAGATGGATTAGTCCTGTGCCCGTCTTCAGGTCTTTTCTGCCCCTCCTGCACTCCTGAGCTCCTCCCAACAGGTTCCTTCAGGACTCAGCATGAGCTCCACTCCTCTGCTTATGAGTTAATCACCAGGTACAGCCTCCCACTGCGGGGGAGGAGCCGCCTCTCCCAGGCTCCCTCTCCCAGTTCCCTCAGACACACACCTGAGACTCGGTGCCCAGAGTGTCCCTTTTGCAAGGGGAGGAAGATCAGCTCTTCAAGCTGCTCCTTCCTTTTCCTTATAACTGATTAATGTTCTGCCCTCCTCTTCCCTTCCCTTCCCTTCCCTAGAGAGGTCCCCACCCTTGGCCAAGCAGGCTCTAACCTGTTTTGTCCCTCACTGTGCTCGCAGTGGAAATGCAGATGCTGGAACTTGTTCCTGCTTGAAATTTGTTCCAAATCAAACATGCTGCTCAGTGTCAGTTATAATGAAATACAAATATCCCAAGTGGGTAATCAGACTTGGCAAAGAAACTTACTCATCCCTGAGCCACAGCTAACGCTCCTCCTTAGCATTTCTTGGGATCCTGGCTCTGCTACACCAGCCTTGGGCACAGAAGCCAGGACATCGTGTTTTTTGATACCACAGTGTCACAGTGTTTGTACAAAGCACAGCAGGAATCTTGGTCATCAGATATCACAGGTGAGAAGAGCAATAGCTCACATGCTCTTTGAGCATCTCCCTGGAAATCCTTCAAGGAAAGGGCATTCAACCTTAGGAACCTGGAGCTGTGCAAAGGATGATACTGCCCACATGCTGCCTGTTCTGGGATTGGTTAACTCCAGCTTCCTGAAAGCACCACGGAGCTATTTTTGGAGGAACAATACAGGCAGACATTGCTATGTGAATTAAAGCAGTGTGCAGGAACACACCAGGAGAACACAGTGCAGTGTGTGACAAACTGTGCAGAGGAGCACACGGGACCTCCCTCCCCACTCAGCTCACTGGCCAGGGCATGAAGAACTGGCTGGAGAGTTGATCTAATCAGTTGGCCTTTTATCTACAAAATCCCTGGAGATTAAATTCATCCAGGCTAAATTAAGCAATCTAAAAGCTAAATGTAGGCTCTGGAGACGATTGTCAGTGGAGAGGAATGACTGTGCCTGAGTGTGAACCAGCACAGCCACACAGCAGGCTCAAAGTCAGCTGGGATGAATCATGTCCCCCAGGAACTATCACTCTCCAGGGACTAGAGCTGAGTGGGATGATTAGTTCGGATTAGCTGTCTAGTCTTTAGATGCCTGAAGTCAGGATGAAGCCTCAGCAGGACTCTGCAAATGGCAAGAACAGGAGCAAAAGTGGCTTGAATCAGAAAACAAGTTGGCTGCCAGGGCTGTGCTGTGCTGCAGCGAACAAGGGCAAGGGTAGCACCAGGGATGGGAAGAAATTGGAACAAAGCTGCTGGCACACAGTTGTTACCAGTGGAAATAAGTGCTAGAGCAGCTTAAAGAATAACTAACTTAAAATATGAGGTGAACAGCCAACTCAGTGCAAGGAAGCTTAGGGAAATAGCACAGGGAAGGGGCAGTAACATGGATGGTGTTTTTCTGGAGCTGCCTTGCCACTGATAACATAAAAGAAGGGTAACACCACCCTACTTTTTGCCTTCCTAAAGAGCTGAAAAGAGCATGAATTTTAAAGAAGTCATCAAATGCATACCTTCTGCCACACAAACAACTGCTGCTGGCTCCATAAGGGGATTTACACTGTCTCCAGCTGCTGTTTGGTAATGACCTACTCTCCCTCCAGTAATTTCTCATGGACCTCAGCACATGAAAGCACACACGATGTAAACATCTCCAGCCCAGCTTGTCAGGCTGGGCTCCTTCAGGGTTGGTGGGGAGAGGCAGAGACTTCTAGGAGTCAGATACCTCACCCTGCAGCAGCCACCTGAAACAGGTCCGATGAAATGTGCCTGGGAAGTGCTTTATCTCGCCCCACCAAGCAGCAGGAGCTCAGGCTGCCAGTCAAGGACAGAGGTTTACCACGCAGACATCTAAAATTAGATGAGAGGTGTCCTGTCCCTGCTGTCTGGCAAAGAGATAAACGTCTATAATTGGCACTCCACGGGCTGATTGGCCAACACAGGATGTGGGAATCGCATCGGCCCATTTTTGCCAGCTAAAAGCAGGGATCTTATCTGGAAGCGTTGTCTGCTCACCTTCTGCAATCAACACAGAAGGACAAGGGGAAAATTCCCTCTGGCTGAACACACGCCCCAAGTGCCACTTCCAAGCCAGTGTCCCTGGGCAGCTCTGCTCTGGCTGATACCCGAGCCCAGCCAGGATCCAAGCGTTAGGCAATCCTTCATTCCTGTATCCCCCTGCAGATGTTCTTGGAGCTCAGCAAACACAAATGCCTTGCCTGGGTTTTCCACAGAATGTACCTGCTGCTTCCTCTTCACGCACACATGGCAGGCAGCCTGCCAGCCTGTTTCCTGATAGTTCTTGGAGAGCGCTCACGCGGGAGCATGGGAAGCCAGATTTGCTTTCCCCCCCCCCTCTTTATTTCAGACTGAAACCCACATCTCCCACCACAAAACATCACAGAGCTCCAAGACACTTCTCTACAGACGTTTCTGGAAGGCACTGCACAGCAGCGTTCCACTGTGTGCAATTCACTGGCCAGATGCACGCAGCCAGCACAGCTGGATGGAAAGTCCCAACTGTAGCTCCTGAGCTGAGCTCTGCCAGCACTGAACCCACAGAGCAGTGCAGAGTCGAATCTCCCCACATTTTGTTCGAGGTTCCCAACTGTGGCATTACAGAATCTTCCAAACACGGAGGCAGCACACAAATTCCTTGTTTCATTTATTCCTTTTGTTTAGGGCTCTCTCAAATTAGGGGACAGGCAGCCTCACACAAATTAGGGGACAGGCAGCCTCACACTGGCATCAGTTGCCAGCCCCAGGCCAAATTATCCAGGGAACCCCCTGCCCAGCAGTGTTCCCACCACGTTCCTGCTGCAGCTCTGAGGTCCCGACCACCCCTGTGCCACGCAGGGGAACCGGTGTGTGCCCATGGATCTGCTGTGGTGACCCTCCAGGGTCCAGCCCCGAGCTGCTCAGGGCACAGCTGTCAGGAGAGGGACCACAGTGTGCCACTCCCTGGGCTGAACGTGGGGAAAAAAGCACTTTCAGACACCCCTTCCTTCCCTCCTTCCAAAGGGAATCCACAGAAACAGAGGTGGGTGTTGTAACATCAGTGGGTCTGGGACCAGCAGGGAGAGGGGATGCAGGGAAGGATGTGGGACAGTGAGTAAATCTCAGGCACAAGATGCCTGGTTTTGACAGGATGTGGAGCAGCCCAGGAGCTGGCAAGGTGGGATGAGGAATGAAGGAGCCCAGCTCACTCTCTCAGTCAGTGACACAGTCACTGATGAATGTGCAGGGCTCCTGGCTCCCAAAATCAGCACGAAGGAGCTCTCACCCCCTGGGGGACCTGCAGCATCTTCCCAACAGGATCCAGGCTTGGCAGCATGTGCAGGGCCCTCCTACCTGAACACACCTGCACGAGACAGCAAGGACAGGACAGTAGATGATGCTGGTTCCTGCATTTAATGTGCAGAGAAGTGTTCCCATTAACCTGCCCCAGGTCGCTCCAGCAGATCCTTTGCCATTGGACCTAAACTCTCTGGCTCCTCTCAGCACATCTGGAGCAGCCACTGAAATGTAACAGCAGAAGGGGGAATCACACTCCTGTGAGCTCCTGCTCTGCATTCCCAGTGGAAGGATGAGGCCCAACCATCTCTTCTGTCCCACAAATGAGCAGAACAAGCTGCTCAGCAGGTTGAATGACTGTAAGCAAAACAAGTACTCCCTCAACATGTTCAGCAACTTCAGGAAGAACACACAGTAAGATGCACAGGACAGCCCTGAACGCCTGAAGAAGGGGCAGTGGTAAAAAAAACCACCTCAGCAGAGGAGTCTGGGAAGGATCATGAGACTGTTAATGTGCAACTGCCCCATCACACTGCAGGAGGCCGGGCAGCCAACAGCACCCCTGGGTGACAGTCCCTTGGCAGCAGAGCCCACTGCTCACTCGTGCTGAGCCTCAGAGTCTGTCCTAGGTCCTTGCCAAGTTTCCTGGACTCCCATGTAAACTTCTGCCCTCTCCTTGACTTCTCAGGAGAACATGGAGAGCGCTCAGGGCCAAAAGTGGAGATACTGCTCCCTGTGGCACAGCACAGGAGATCATCACCCAGGGGGATGGAAGGGGGTTCATCCAGCCTAAAGGCCCAGGCAAGCTGGACACAGCCCAGGTCAGTGACAAGGACAGGGCACAGAATCATCACAGCCTCTTGTAGGGAAAAGAGCAAAGAAGCCTTGGTTAGGGTTTATTAATCAGTGAGACAACAGAGGTCAGATGAAGCGCTTGCAGATGTGAAGAGGCAGATGGGGAGGACAGGAGCCTATACAGGGGGTCTCCACTAGGAAATCTGGACAATGCTCTCAGGCACAGGGTGGGATTCTTGGGTTGTCCTGCGCAGGCACTGGAGTTGGACTCGATGATCCTTGTGGGTCCCTTCCAGCTCAGGCTGTTCTGTGGTTCTAAATTAGCTGCCACCAGCATCATCCAAGAAAAACCCCATGTACTCACAACCAAAACCCAGCACTGGGGCCTGAGATGACCACTGTATTTGTGGCACAACTCTCTTGGCAGAAAAGTTAGAAAGACACAGCAGTTTCTGGGTGTTAACTTAAACCTTTCCAATTCCTTCCACCAGGACTTTCATCTTCCCAGAAGAAAGCAAACACAGTCTGGCTGTGGAGCTCCACGAACTGCTCAGCACACCTGTAGAGGGGATCAGCAAACCTCTCCAAGTGCTCAAGAGGTACTTCAGCACATCCCTGGGATGCAGACAACCCTTGCCATGTGCTCAGGATTAAACCAGTCCCACAGAATTAAACCAGTCCCACAGAAACGCTGCAAGTAGGAGAATGTGAAAAAATACAAGTGGGGCACAGGGTCAGGCAGGGCTCCCACTGCTCCTCAAAGTGGTGCCAAGGAAGAGGCAGTGCCACATCACAGGGACTGTGCCTGCAGAACCAGTCCCCTCCCAGCTGATGCTCACCTCCCCACCTTTGCTACTCTCCATCTACTCTACATTCATCTGATACAAAGCTCTAATGGAAAAATTTGCTCTTACTCAATCCTTCAAGCTAGGGGCAGGGTAAGGGAGACAGGACAGCAGTTACCCCAACTGCCAGCTCAGGAGCAGCATTTCTGACCCAAGGGCTTGGTGGGGCAGAGGCACAGCTGAAAATGTCACTTGGTGGGAGGTGCAGATGGGAGTCACAAATCTGGGAGTGGTAGGTGCATTTTAGCAGGGCTTAAGCACAGGACATCACGGGAAATGCAGAGATCATCCAGGATGCCCACGCTCTCAGCACTTCAGTGCTTTAAAGATGCAGGGGAAACAGTTCAGTACCCAAAAGTGGTGCGAGCACAGGAGCTCAGATGGCACAGAAGAACATTTAAACACCTAAAATAGAGAGTGGGCAGTGAAGGGTATCAGATGACTCCGCCCTACTCCAAAATGTCTCAAGAAAACCAGCCTGAAACAAGACCCTGTGAGGCAAAACATGCTCCTGCTCTCCCACTGGTGCAAAACAGGAGAGAAGGAAGGGAAGACACTGAGCAGTGGCCCTCCTGCTCACAGAGAGCAAGCCAAGATCCAGCTGAAATCCTGAGTGCTTCCTAGGGGCTCATGGCTCTTCATTTTAATATACCTGGGAAAGCTGGGGGAATAGGTCCTTTGGAATAAGCAGTGATGTCCAAATTCTGTACATGAGACAGGAGATCAGGGTGGATGATAAAGTGCTTTATAAGAAATGCATGTGCATATGTTCACTTGAAATAGTGAGTGCCCCCAAGCCGGTGCTCTGAGACCACTTTCCAAAAACCCAGCAGCATAAAGAAAGAACTGTCCATGAGCAAAACACCTTCAAATCATTCCCTCTGGAAAACCTTGAAAATGGGAAAAGGTGGACTTTACAATGTTTGGTTCAGGCCCCTCTGCCCTTGGAGCAGTGCTGTGCATGAGAATCACTCACCTGCCAGTCACTGCTGCTGGAACACTTGCAGGGGGCAGGGTTTGCTACTGAAAATGTATTTTCTTTCAAGGATTCTAAACTTCTGGCTGTAAAGAAAAATGTCTTATTTAAGATACTGGCAATGGCACCTTTCCAGCTCACCTTTCTTCACCTCTTGAGAGTTGGAGGGGTCATATCACAGTCATGGAATGGTTTGTATGGGAAGGGAGTTTAAAGCCCATCCAGTTCCACCCCCTGCCATGGGCAGGGACACCTTCCACCAGCCCAGGGTGCTCCAAGCCCGTCCAACCTGGCCTTGGACACTTCCAGGGATGGGGCAGCCACAGCTTCTTTGGGCAACCTGTGCCAGGCCCTCCCCACCCTCACAGGGAAGGATTCCTTCCCAGTATCCAATCTAATATTGTAGATCCAGATCCTGTCTCTGGGTAACTAATGACTGGGAAGCAAACTCTTCCCTGGTGCTGTGTAGCCTCCAGTGGATGTTTCCTCTCCAACAAATTACCTTTTTAATTCACAGACAGTTTCTGCCTTGCTTTCTCACCAGGCCCCACAGCCCCAAACACGCCCCAGTGCTGGCTCAGCCCAGCCAGCGGGTGGGTGCAGCGTTTCATGGCCCGGGCAGGGCGGTGATTACAGGTCTTGATTCTCACCCTAATAAAAGGAGCGAAGGCAGATGCTAATGAGTGCATCTGGCACCGTCATTTTGGGAGCCTCCTGCCCGTAAACACAGGGGAGGGTTCCATTTTGACCACATGGCTGTCCCACGTTCGGAGCACAAAGGGCATTGTCAGTCGTGCCACTGAACTCCAGCAGCTCCTGCTTTCACATGGGCACCACACGGCCTCCCAGGTTGGATGGTGGTGGAATCCCAGCCCTGTGTTCCCATGGCATGGATAACACGGAGCCCAGGTTTAAATTACATAGCAGGAAAGGGGTTAAAGTTTAAATAACTGTTTTGTATATGAATTAATGTATGTAGCTTTGAGCCAAAATATCTACCATTAATTTTTCCACCTATTTCAGGAGCAGTAAGATACACAAAGTAAAGTTTATTTTGGTACTTGGTATACTTCACTCTCATTAAAAATAAATTAATCAGCAAATTCCTACACAGCTCAGCCTTCTTTTATGTAAATACAAGCCAGCTGTAATGAATTACAAGGTGTTATTATCTCACACACACTGTATAATACTTCACACATAAGAGGTTTCTCTGCTTAGCTCAGCTTTCAACAAAAGCATCTTAAATAAACTGCAAGCAAGTTGTTTGGGCTGTAATGTTTTCACAGAGAAGGGATACACCTCACACAGAGAGGGGCTCTTTACATGACTCATTTTATAACAAGTTAAACTGAGGAAGTTCACCTTGGAAAAAAAATAACAAAATGCCTGTTTTATACACAGAAGGCTCCCTAAGAGAAGATTTAAAAAAAAAAAAAAAAATAGAAGGCAGTGTTTGGGAGCCTCTATCCCGCATCCCACTGCTCTTTGCATGGAGAAGGGATGGCAAATACTCCCCAACACACACACACTATGAAGAAAGCAACATGAGAAGGAAGAACAGTCACAACCAGGCACAGTCACACACTTTCACCAGATTAAGGAGTCACAAATTGAGGATTAAATTCACAGATTAAGGGCTATCACCTTCAACTTCTGTTTAATATTTTTATAGGAATAAGCCCTGATTTCATAGGGCTTATTCTTATCAAAAGCACACAGGGCACAAAAAACAAACACACAGCAATTTTACCCAGACTGACATTTATTATTGACTTGGATTTTGGACAGGAGAGAAACGAAAACTGGTTCTGCCACTGACCTGGAAACAGCCTGGTGAACCCTCCACCCACACAGAGCACCTCAGCCTCTGCTGACCTCACCAGTGCAGCTCCTGCTCCCCTAATTACTGTGTTGGCATCATTTGCCTGCACAGCCATAGAAAGTTTTCTCTGGCACTGATGGGTCTTGCTAAAAAAGCCCTGGACCGCTGTTATGGGGTGAGGAGGATGGCAGGGTCCTGTCCCAGGGACACAAACAGGGATGTTCTTTTCAGGAAGAAATTCCTAGAGCACAACTCTACAGAGAACGTGGAAGTATCAGCAAGGCAGACTGAAACATCAAGTACTGAGGCAGCTTTTAGTGCCAGCCCAGCCATGATTTGGGCTTTAATCTCCCTAAGATGGCCAGAGACACAGAGGATTGCTGGGGACCGTGCATTATTCTTTGCATTCTCCCATTCTTGTGCAACAGAGCAGAGTTTCCAAAAAGGATTTTCACAGAAAACCCTTCAGAATTTTTTAAAGCAATTCTTAACTCCACTAAAGCAAAGATGGACCATTCCATCTCCATATCAGGCTTTTAAAATATATATTTAACATCTAATCTGCAAAGCTCAGATTTGCATTGACAACCACTCAGGGAGCAGAGGACACCGCTGTGTCTCTGGGTAGCAGCTCTTTAAACGAGGCAAAGGACAGAAATGTCTTCTGGAGAGAACTCTATGTCATGGTGAATACCTGCTTTCCTAAAGACAGAAGGCAGCTCTGTCCATTTGACAGCCAGGGCCACTCAGGGCCATAAAAAGGACAGAGGTTCTCAAACCAACAAGGATTGACTTGCAGGTGAAGGTTCAGAGGAGGATGGCTGTCCAGGTTGCTACTGAGGCACCACGGATGGGATAGCTAATGAAGCTTTTTTTTTTTTTTTTCCAACAGCAGATTTTTCTTCCTGAGCTCACAGCCCCAGCCCAGTCCCACTTCAGGCACGCCTCCCACGCTGTTCCAAGCACGGATCTCAGAGTCCTTCGTCATTGTAGACGGGGGAGAGGGGCTTGAGGATGCTGCGGGCGTTGCTCTCCACCAGCGGCCGCCAGCTCACCTCGCCCGTGAGCAGCAGGTCCTCCCCACTCAGCGCGTCCAGGTGCTGCACCTGCAAGCACAGCAAGTCACTGCCACGTGTCCCATCACCCAGGCAAGGCTCTCAAGAGCAGCACAAACACGGTTCTCTCCAGAAAGCAAGCACAGCAGGGAGATTTTCGCCTACTTTGCCATTTGCACGAGGTACACCTAAAAACGTCACTTCCCGCTGTGACAGGACCCGAGGGAATGGCCTGAAGTTGTGTCAGGAAGGTTTGGGTTGGATCTTAGAAAAAGATCCTTCCCCCAGAGGGTGGTTGGCACTGAACAGGCTCCCCAGGGCAGTGGGCACAGCCCCAAGGCTGCCAGAGCTCCAGGAGGGTTTGGAGGATACTCTCAGGCACAGGGTGTGACCCTTGGGAAAGGGCCTGTGCAGGGCCAGGGGTTGGACTGGATGATCCTTGTGGGTCCCTTCCAGCTCGGCACATTCTGTGACTCTGTGACTGCAAAGCCCCATGGAAAGGCCTGGGAGATAAGGATCTGCAGATCCTCTGGAGTCACCTGCGTCAGGCTCTCCACTAACGCCTCAGCTAATGCCTCCTCTGAGAGTTTGGCATCAGGGCAAAGAGGAGCCACGCAGAGCTACCCTGAGTCACTTCATCTTCCTGGCAGGTCCTGCAGCTGACACTGCCCACATCATCACCCTGTGGAGGGCTCTCATCAAAGGGGCTTCACACAGACTGAGGCTTTTCACTACACAAAAAAGGCCTGACCAGCAGGGAGCACCTGGGATTTATCACATAGAAGCACAGGAGCTGGAGGAGGTGAACACGGAATGAACACTCATCCTCACAATACAAGAAATCCCAGACTGGTTTGGGTTGGAAGGGACCTTAAAGCCCAGCCCGTTCCACCTCCTGATGGGCAGGGACACCTTCTCCTATCCCGGGTTGCTCCAAGCCCCATCCAACCTGGCCTTGGACACTCCCAGGGATGGGGCAGCCACAGCTTCTCCAGGCAAAATACTTGGGGATCTAATGAAATTTAAGCAAAATAAAAAAACCTCTTGCCATACAGCATGGGGTTAAAGTGCTGCCACAGGACACTGTAAACACAGAGAGGGGGAAGAGAAAGAAAATAGTCCCTTCAGGGGTCAGTCAAAGCTGAACCCACCACTGCTGGCCCAGGAAGGCTGGAAGAGCTGAGCAGGGGTACAGTGCACACGCTGCCCTGTTAGTAAATTCTTCCCTGGCATCCACTAATATCCAGTGTTAGAGAAGGACCCACAGGAAATTGTGGGAAGACCTGGTACACAGTGTTACTGGAAACAAAGGATAATTGGACAAGGAGTTTCTCAACAGAAGAAAGAATGCACCAATGGCCACGTCAAAAAGCCACCTAAGCACGATGTCCTGTTCCTGACAGCCACCACCAGCAGATTCCCCAGGAGGAGTTAAACACAACACATGCACACAGTGCTATTTTCCTGATTTCTTTTCCCTCCCTCTCAAAATCTCTTCTTACAGGGACTTTGAGCCTGAAGTGGCTGTAATGGCCCTGGACAAACTCCTGCTCCACAGACCTTGCCAATGGCTTTGGAATCCACGTGCAACGGCAACGTTCTGTCCCCCCACTCCTGTGCCGCTGAACACCTTTCCCTGCTCACCTTCCACATGCCTTCAGGATTTCCCAGAGCTATCTCCTGTTCTTTCTCAGCTGGTTTTTTTTTGGACAGGGGATCCTACTCATTGCTAATAAAGGAGCTGTTTCACTGTCAGCCTTACTGCTCCTCTCTGAGCCTTCTCCAGTTCAGGTTTTGTCTGTCTTGATGGTCAGCACCCAAACCAGACACATTACTCAAGCTCATACAGGCCCCATGGATGTAAAAAGTGGCAGGACAGCAACATTTTATTCTCTATTCCTTAATAGTTGTGAGCATTTGTTTTACATTTTTTTAAACACTAGAGTGCTGAGCTGAAGTTTTGACAATACAGTTGTAATCTTAAGGCCTCTTTCTTGTGTGGTAAAAGTTCAGAGCTCATTGATATATATGTAAAGCTGGGAATGTTCTCCTCAAGTGCACCACCTGTCTGCAGAAATGACCTGTCTGCACAGAACCTGTGCTGATTCCTCCCCAGTGTGCCACATTTTTCTGCCTAATCACTCTTCCCTATTCAACTGCTGATTGCTTCTGACCTTTGCTTGAATATACAGAAGAGCAATAAATTCCCCACCTGGCGGGAAATTGTCCCAGGTGACTTCTTTTATGTGTTTGTTCCCTGCAAACTTTCCTACAGCCCCACTGATGTTAAGCATCAGCAACCCTCAGCACTAAATTAAGCCAGACCTTCCTAAGAGCCTTCTGGCATTCCCAAAGTGTCCTCAGTCCCTTAGGAAGCCCAGCCTTTTATTTCCCATGCCATTTTCTCAGACACAAACTGAAATACTTTCTCTCTAAACCTCTATCTGGTCCTGAATACAGTATAGGAAACATTTCAGAGGATGATGATGGTGGAAATTCTGGTCTTCAATTCCCTGTCCAACACCCTGCCCTCTTCCTCCAGAACCTCTCTCACCCTTTTCTTTGGTGCCCACCTGGACTGCATCCCACGAACATTTCCTAGAAATCTGGTTCACAAACCTCCTCAGGGTTAAGAGGACAAACACTACTCAGTATTGTCTCCTCCAGGTAATAACCCAAAGAAACAGAAATAATTCTGGAAAATAAAATCTTTTACTTCTTTCCCCCAAAGACCACTTTCAAGCTATTTCACTATGAAGAGGATCCCAACTCCACAACAACAATTATAACCTACAACAAGCTCCAGCCCATTTCTGACAGATTTTTCCAGCCCCTCCGTAGCAGATGTCCTGAAAGAGATGAGCAGGGTTCTTTTCAGTATTCTGTGAGCTTCTCTTTTCATCAAACTGCAATAATGATCTCTCCTCTCTTATGACCAGTGACAGGACCTGACGGAACAGCTGGAGCTGTGCCAGGGCAGGCTCAAGTTGGATCTCAGGGAAAGGTTCGTCCCCCAGAGGGTGGTTGGCACTGAACAGGCTCCCCAGGGCAGTGGGCACAGCCCCAAGGCTGCCAGAGCTCCAGGAGGGTTTGGACAACGCTCTGAGGGACAGGGTGGGATTGTTGGGGTGTCTGTGCAGGGCCAGGGGTTGGACTGGATGATCCTTGTGGGTCCCTTCCAACCCAGGATAGTCTCCCATTCTATAATAAATATAATCCAGATTTTATATTTTTACCTTTTTCTCCTTAAACATGTTCCCTGAATATTAAAATCAGATTTATTTATGAGAACTGAGCTACACATGCAAGCAATAAAAACCAGCATTCAGCATTCTAAAGCAGGGGCTGGGGAGGAGCCTCTCCCCGTACCTGTTTGCGCACGTACTCCACGAGTAACTCCAGATGCCGAGGGTCGTCACAGTTCCTGTTGAAAAGGTTCCTCCAAAGAGCTGCTGCCAGAACATGATCATCAGACAAGATTCCCTAAAGGAAGTACAGAGGGGGGTTAAAAACTGCACGTGAAGAGGGTCTGAGCACGAGACACCCCCACTTGGCGCGTGGCCACGGCACCTGTCTCGCGGCCACAGCTGCCGCGGGCCGTGCATGTGGAAAGGCAGCAACATCACTCCTTCCCAGCATGGAAAAACAACCCTGGCCTTCAATTAATTTACAGAGCAGCCTGTAACCAATATTCTGGCAAGCTAATTTGGAAAAAAAACCTGGGTCAGGGTATTCCTAACACGGGAGTTGATAGCTGCATTTCTGGGTTATGAAATCTTTGCCATAAAAAAGGCGACCTTGCAGAGAAGGCAGCACCATCTCATGGGAACGGGTGAAGCCCATAGCACTTGGAAGAGAAAAATTAAAGGATATTTAACCCAACGTTGCAGAAATGTAGTCCAGATTTTGCTATTTTGCTTTGCTTTTTTCCTTTTCATTCTAAATGAGAGTGAACTCCTCCTCATCAAGAACTATGTAGCTTTTTCCAGTTAAATCTAATATTGGCTTTGGTTTATACAAGAACCACATCCACGAACGCTTTTCATCCAAATCCTCTCCCACTTTCACGGCATTCTTAGATTATGTGGTATTATCACTGTAGTCTCATAACTCCTGTCTTCTGCTAATACATTTGCCAAAGGTAAAAGAGGACTGTAAAATATTCAGTTAAAAATACAAAAAGTCAACATTTGTCTTTAATTGAAGCAGACATTTTGTTTCCAAAAAGATTGACAACACAGGCAGACACATCTAGTTATAACTAGCCTATAAATTTGTATGTGTAACACTGTCCACAACTCTGTGAATTTACATTTACAAGATATTAATAATGCAAATCACTGTGCAAAGACACAGTACCACTATGTGAGTAAGAGCATCTGAAGAGCAACACTCACTAGAGCAAAAAAATAACTACAAAAAGAGATGATGTAATTGTATTTTCCTCTTGGAAGTCCTGCAGACACTCGTGCTCAGTGGTGCTTTTGCCCCCATGTACCTAATAAAGGTACTGCCTATAAATATTCTCACATAGACTCCCTATAAATACTCCATAAATACTCTTTGCTTTCAAAGTACAGCTGAGTACAATGGGATTCAGAGGGAGGAAGTGATTTAGTGATGGCCAAGCAGGGATGGTGAATTAGCACCAAGAACACCCTAACCCCTTCCACACCCCATGGTTTAAATCCATGTGTTCTGTGCTGTTTTCTTAAAAGCCCTTTCATTCAGGGTACATAACTAAGAAGTCTCTTCTCCAATATAACATTTCTCCAAAGATATGGACAGTGAATGTTCTCCCAATCTGGAATATTCTGTGTTCATGAATTAGATGGCCTAGCTGTGGCACGTTCACTGAAAACATCCTTCTTACCTCATCATATCCAAACAGAGCTGCATAGAAATTTTCTACCATACTTTTCAAATCTTCCTTTAGAGCAACAGAATTAATCTGAAAAATAAACCAGAAAACCATCAGTGTAGGCTCTAAAGAGGGGGTGAGGAGAAAATGTTACCAGTTTCACTGTGAGCAGGCAAAGAAGAACCAGTGCCCCAGCCCACCTTGCTGAGGAAGCAGCTGTGAGCAAAACCCTAGTGCAGTCAGTCCCTGTAGATCCCCCCTGAGACACAGCTCTGTTAGTTCTGACACAAAGGAAGTTGGTGTTGCTCAAAATACAACAGGTAGAACCATCCTGAGCCAGCCTTGCTGGGGCAGCAGGAAGCAAAGCTGTCCTTGCAGTGCCAGCACAGCCCAAGAGAATGGAGACTCCTCTGTAGTTTAAATATTGAGCAGCTTTTCCAGACCTTGAATCATTCTTAGAAACTCAAAGGTTGTTCAACCTTTTTCCCCCAAACCATGGACTGCAGAACTGGACGTGCTACTGCAGGGAAAGTACAGGAATGCTAAAGACAGAGACACCATCCCTGTCACTGCTCCCTCCTCACCTGTCAGCACTGGCTCTCAGTCAGCAAGCACATGAATTCTGCCTCTACAGCATCTCTGGGAGCTCAGACTCACTGGTTTTTGACGATGACTAAATTTCTTTCAGAGTTTGTGATGATCCAGCAACTTCCCCCTAGTGCTGTGTGACCCAGTCCAAGTTCCACACTGACTTTCAACTAAGTTTAACCACTGCTTAAATACTTGCTGGTTTGGCCTAAACCACCCATTGGCTCAAGAACTGACCCCGTGTGAGCTTAAGATGGAACTGGAGCCACTGCTGGGTGCAGAGGGGCGGCTGAAACGCCTCCTGTGCATCTCCCTCGTGCACAGCCTGTCCCTTTTGCCTGTACTTTATCTACAGAGTGACTCAGTTCCTCTCCCAGGGCTAAGCTACACTTGGGCAAAGCTGCTTCTTTGTACTGGCTCTCGTGAGGGATCCAAGCATTTCCCTTCTACTGAAGCATAAAGGACAAGGATAATCGAGCCCTGCACACCAGCAGGACACTCAGGTGTGAGGCTGAGCCTGGAGACTGGTTTGACAAAACAGAGACAGTGAACAGGAGTGCAGGGCCCTTGAAACTCAGCCCATCACACTGGGAACCTCTTGTCCTAAATACTCTCTCACCATCCTTATGAGTATTCACCTCAGTAATTATGCAACAGCTTTTCTGTCAAAATAGGAGTTAGTTTTTGCCAAGTGAGCAAATCTCCAGTTCAAATATTCTTCCATTAAACCACTGTCTTTTTTCATCTGTTGATTTTTATAGCAATGCACATAGTGCAAACATAAGGAAAATTCCTTTTATGTCAGTTACTCATATTTTTCCATTAATATAAACTATTAAAATTCATGCAGATATTTTATAGGCTATCAAGATTTGGAGACTGGTTATTACTGAATGCTTAAAAAAAGAACTAAACATAAGAAATCAGAGGGTTAAATGATGACTGCAACTTCTGTAATGACTTAATTAAATTTTTATTGAGTACATAAACTATGATGTCATTTCTACCCAACCATGCTCAAACCTTCTGTGCATGTCAGAGATCGTGGTTTTTCTCAATAGAACATACTTCTAAATAAGCTGCACTTCTACAGCTCTAATAAGGGGGAGCAGGTCTCATGTAACACACTCAATAAATTATCCTTCCATTTTAAACAAACAAATTCCATGAGTTATTATATATTTGCCACGCACTTTTTATGACATAATAAAAATGTTACCTCAAGGATTACTTAACACATACTACAAATGTTACAGCAGGCAACTGCAAGGGGCAAAGAAAACAAATAGTCCCATTACAGAGACAAGTCCTGGACTATATATCCCTAGGGAAGCAGCTTTCCCCTCTAAAAACAAAGAGCAGCAGCTTTAAGTTAGCAAGAAATAGATCGATGAAGGAGATAACCAAGTTAAACAAACATGGCAATAAATACATCTTAAAAGAGTTTCAGATATAAAACATGAGTCTGGGGATGGAGCTGTATCTTAGGCAATAAAATGGTATTTAAAGGAATATTGCAGTTTCTGAAGAATACAACTGGCACTGATTAGGTACAAACACTGAAGGAAAAAAATCCTTCTTTATAAATCAAGAAAAACGAGTAAATCCAAATCAGCATTTGCTGGAAGCGCTTCCTCTTTCAGAGCTTGTGCACGTTCTCACCACTGGCAAGTTTCATGATCTGGTTGGTCCTGATTCTGCTGACTCTTCCACAGTCTGTTATTAAGAAGGAAAACTGCTAGAGAATTCCAAGTGAGTAATTGCTAATAACAAGGAAAAAATCAGTAACATCCGGAGCTCTTCTTGGGACTTCGCCCCTTTGCCTCCCTTGGAACGACCCAGTGCAGAGCTGTCACTGGAGAGATTTATGCACTACTGCCTGACTGACCCAGGACTGTGCTAGTTCACAACAAGGAACCCATCTTTGGCACATATCTCACCTCTACAGGGCCTTTACAAAAGGAAATGGTACAGCTAAGGTATCTTCCTGCTACAGGTCACAACTCTTCACTGAAAGACTGAAAGACTTCTGCCCACGGGACGACTGCAGCAAACAGATCTGCGTTTTCAGTCTTGTATTGAAGGAACCTCATCTTTGGCCTCAAGGACCAAAACACCTTACACATGGGCACAGCATTTAAAGTGAATGCTTCTCTAGGATCAGCCCATATCAATGCCCTGTGTTGGGTTGAGAGCATTCCTGGGTAGTGAATCTCCTCCTCCTCCCCTCTTGTTTTGGCTCCCGGTGCAGAGCAGGCTCAGTGTGCACAGACTGGAAGGTAACAAGGGACAGGATGAGAGCAAATGGCCTCAAGTTGTGCCAGGGGAGGTTTAAATTGGATATTAGGAGAAAAAAAACAGCAGAAAGAGTTGTAAAGCGCTGGGACAGGCTGCCCAGGGCTGTGGTGGAGCCACCATACCTGGAAGTGTTCAGAAAACACATGGATGTGGCACTTGGGGACGTGGTTTAATGGTGAACACGGAGGAGGAGCTGGGTTGATGGTGACTTGATAATCTTAATGGTATTTCCCAACCTTAACAATTCCTGATTCTATGGGTTCTGATGTGCTCTGCCTGCTTGGAGCCTTCCAGCCCAGGGATCAGCCTGGAACAGGAACAGCCCATCCCCACGGAGCAGGGCCTGCGGATCCCCAGTGGTTTCACTCCCCCCCCTCGTGTCCTGCCAGCACAGCCCGACTGTGATGGCCACAGGCTGCACTGTCTGAGAGCTCTGGAACAGGAGTTTCTTTCTGCTTCAGCTTTTGCCAGCATGTGTTGCACCCTTAAGCTACTTTAACACATTAATCCATCCATAGACTATAAAGCCAGAAGGGGCATTTCTAACTGCCTTGTACAAGCACTAGTCATTGGATTTCAGGCAGCAATTCCTCTCTTCAGGCTGTAAGTTATGCTTGAACTAGATTTTTTTATGAAGAGATTTCAGCCAGAAGAAATGATTAGATCATAGAACCTGACCCTCTGCATATCACAGACCATTACATTTCACTGAGTTCCCCCTGTACTAAGCTCACTAAGTTGTGTTTGGCTAAAGCATATCACCCTCACAGTTGAACATGTGTATCTCATTTCATATTTGAATTTTCTGGCTTGGGTTTCCACCCCCTCATTCTCATTATACCATTCCTGCTAGAGTAAAAAGCCTCTTCTGTACAATGTATTTGCTCCTGTACCTGCACACAGCAGATGTGTCAGCACAGTCATCTTTTCTAAGTAAGATTAGGCTCTTTCAGGTTATGTTTACACTGGGTGCACTGACACACCACATCAGCAGCACACAGCTGGAGTGGTCAAAGTTGTAACAGCAAAGTAGTGGTTTTATGCTGATACAGTCAAAATAAATTCATTCCTTGTGCAAAACAAGGTACACAGGTCTGAGTCCACTCGTGTTGTCATGGCTGAGTCCACTCTGGGACTTCTGCAGCCCCACTGCCATAAACATCACCCACTCCCACTGACACTTCTGATTGCTGGAGCAGGAATATCAGCAAAAGCTCCTGAAGGAGATACAGGACCAATCTTTCACGATAAAAAAGGCATCCTGCAAACATTCAGACATTTTTATGCCCATTTGCTCAAGTTGCAATTGGAAAGAGTGACTTGAAAGATAGTTTACATTAGTTATAAATAATATTTAAGCACATACAATTATGTATGGGCTTTTTGAGTGTCTGCTGTTCTCTTAATAAACACACATGACATTAAGTGGGCAAAGCTGCATGCAGCCCTTTTATTTTGTCCTATAACATCACTACCGCTTGTAGGACAGTAATGTTGAAATTACTGAGACTGTAGCTTGGATCAAATAAAACAATTAATAAAATAGATTAAAAATATTTCTGCAGCAGTAAATAAAGGCCAGTTCCTTCAGGCAGTCTCACATACTTGTAAGTTGACAAAGATATTGAAGAAATTATTCACTTTCAGAGTCTTTTATTAACCACTCTGCTACTTTGTCTAAGCAGATCACTGCTTGTAATTAGCCACAGCTGTGTGTCCCTGCATACTTTAAATACTACCCCTTCTGATAAATTTTGTAATTTTTTAATTAGAAGTACTTTTGTAATACACCTCAGTAACCATTAACTTCAGAGAGGAGTCCTTAAAGCCTTCTTCAATGTTTGGTGACAACCTACCCCAATATTATACTATTCTAGATAAAAGCTAAATGTTTCAGCTCCTGCCCAAATCTTCAATCCATAAAAACACCATGATAATGGAAAAACTTGTACATGCTCTGCTACCTTCACACCAACTGTGCAATCATTTATTAATTGATTAATAAATAAGGCTCCTTAGAGCAAGTTTATTCCAAGCAGACACAGATAAGCGAGTTATACAACACGTTTCAGCAAAACCAGATGCTCATTCCTACCTGTCTGATACCCAAAAAACGAGGTTTGTTCCTATCTTGCAGCTTATTAATTAGGAAACTCTGCCATGCTCATAGTTACAGATGCAGAGATGCCAGTACAATCCAAACT